GGGCCAGTATCTGATTGTATCACACGAAGGTTTGTTTTCAGTATGTCTTGTACTAGATCCATAGTTTTAAATAGCCCGCTATAACTTTTTGAACGTGTTGTCGCCAAAGGATTTCATGTACAATTTTCCGCTATAGCCTCATTTAGCTACGATTTAGCCCCCTATAGCCCCATTTTGAGGGTTGCCTCTATTTGCTACTATCCACTATTTAAAAGATTGACGAGACCTCTATTTCAATTACGCCTCGTCTTGTCTCAGAACATTGTGCAGATGCAATTAAATTGCCACTCACATGTCATAGAAGTGTTTGATGAAATGCGTAAGCCGAATAAATTGTTTGATCCGCAAAATATACGGGACCTGTTGGAAACCACATTTTTTTAGCGAAGCAAACATACTCCTCTAAAGTAAAAGGACGCGTATAAGGTGGCTAAATTTTGAGGGATCGGCTAGACATAACCTAACTAGTACGAGTCTCATCAATCTGTTCCATTGCTGGCAGCACAGGCAAACAAGGATGGTTCATTGACGGCGAACTTCGGCGAGAGCACGACATGGGGCGACGATGACCCCTCCGTGTTTGCGGTGACCATCGTGAAGGGGCTGCCCTCCCTCTTCGATGGCATCCCCAACAAAGACCTCCTGGTAAGTAATTCACCTAGTTGTTTCCTTCGTCTGGTTGTAATGTCATGTTTATCCCATCTTGCTTAATTTCTTCCGGTTTGGATCGATGGATCAGGATAGCACGCGTGTGCAGTTCAAGTCCATGGCACAGAAGGGGTTTCTGGCTGCCGAGAATGGGGGCGGCGGGGCACTTGTCGTCAATCGGCCCTCGGCCTCCGACTGGGAGACCTTCAAGCTTTGGCGTATCGACGAGAACACCTTCAACTTTAAGGTGTTCAGCAACCAATTCGTGACCGTGGCCGGCGTTAATGTGGTGGCCACGGCCTCCATGCCGGGGCAGTCGGAGACGTTCCAGCTGGTGCGCAATGACGCTGACAACAATAAGATGAGGATCAGAGCACCCAATGGGTCCTTCTTACAGGTAAGTTAACTTAATACTCCACTCATTAGTAGTAGTTGATTGCACGACAGACCAGTGGCAAAGTTACCTACTCTTTCATTGACAATGACTATTACAACCACGAGTTGCATCGAAGGTTATCTTTCATGAAAGAAAAAACACCCTACTAAGATTCATCAGATTTACATATCTTCCATTTCTGGCACGGTAGGCAAACAAAGATGGTTCGGTGACGGCCGACTTCGTCAAGAGCACGAAATGGGGCGACGACGACCCCTCCGTGTTTGCGGTGACCATCGTCGGGCAGGCGCTGCAAGGGGAGTACCAGATCTGCAATGGCTATGGCAAAGATACGGCTACACAGGTCATGAATGTACGTATGCTGAAAGACCTCTTTTATTTTCTCCATAATTTTCCTAGATACAGCGTATAGCTATATATTAGTGGCAGAAAGTTCAAGTGATCTTGATGTAGAATTTTCTTAAGCTCACATGATAAGTATCAATCATTCTTGTACTTCAAGTTCGTTGATTCCATATATGGTTGACAGGACCACCGGAGCACATATATCGTGGAACGCGACTTCGCTTTCATGGCGGCAAACGGCCTTAATGCAGTGAGGATCCCAGTCGGGTGGTGGATCGCCAGCGACCCCAACCCTCCAGCACCATTCGTAGGAGGCTCTCTGCAAGCCTTGGACAACGCGTTCACATGGGCAGAGTACGTAAATAGATACATATGTAGTCTTCAAAAAACTTGAATGTTTTTATTGGATTTCTGTTTGGGAAATTACATGTTTTTGTTGAAAATGTATGAGCAGGAGGCACAATATTGGCATGATCATAGACTTACATGCAGCACCTGGGGCGCAGAACCCCTGGGAGCACGGCGGTAGTAGGGATGGCTCACAGACCTGGGGAGACTCCAACATTGTGGAAACAGTGCAAGTCATTGATTTCCTCGCAGCAAGGTCTCTGTATAACAATTCGTTATTATTATTTTACTTATGAAAATATGGTTTTTATGTTTTCAGATCATGCAAAGTAGCCGGGTAATTCCATCTCCCTTCTAACCTTCTTAGCATTTGATGTACATATAGGTATGCCAGGAGATCAGGCCTCCTGGCGGTGGAGTTGATGAATGAGCCGTTCGCAGATGGTGTGTCCCTAGATAGCCTGAAAAGATACTACCAACAGGGCTACAACGCTGTTAGGAAGCACTCGCCTACGGCCTATGTGATCATGTGCAACCGAATTGCAGGGGATTCGAACGAGCTCGTCGATTTTGCCTCACCGTTCAGCAGAACCGTCCTTGACGGGCACCCCTACCTGGTGTTCGAACCCAAGTTGGACAAATCCAATGTGCAGCAGAACATCGATTTCGTGAACAAAGAGATCGCCGGTGATCTCAGCGCCATGACAAGGCCAGATGGCCCTCTCACTTTTGTTGGTAAATCTGTGATAGTTAGATCATCCTTTGATCATGCACGGTTCCAGCCTGAACTTTAGTGTCTCACGTGAAAAGTAGGTCCAGAATAACTGATGCATGTCTTGTGTTATACAGGTGAATGGGTGGCTGAGTGGAAGGTAAAGGGTGCTTCGAAGGAAGACTTCCAACGGTGTGCAAATGCTCAGATGGCTGTGTATCGGAAAGCCACATTTGGATGGGCTTACTGGTCGTACAAGCATGTTAGCAACCACTGGAGTATGGAGTGGATGATCAACAACGGATACATCTCCTTAAAAAATGCTTGAGGCAACTAAATTTGCAACTATGAACGGAAGAGCTGCCAACTATTGGAGAAAAAAAAATGTATGAGAGGGAACTGATGAGCACTTGGCACCTCAAGATATTATTAATGTAATATGATTATGTTGTTTAATGATTTAAGTAGTATTTGTGACTTTATTCACCACATGAGCCAATAATTTGTTTCACGCCAATAATCTATCTCGTGCTTGTGTACTTGACTATCAATTCTATTATACTTGTTACACATCTATTTCTTTCTTATACTTTGCTCTATGGGCATATCTAGCCGATCCCTCAAAATTTGGAGGAGCTTAACATCAATTGCACTCCTTATACTTTAGAGGAGTATATTTTTTTCCTTGAAATTTCATTCAAACAAGTTCCTAAACAACTACAAACTTGATTCAAACTAGATCATACTACCTAAAACTAGTTCAAACTAGACCTAATACTTTAAAGTACAACCTATTCAACTACTCCTCCATTGCTAAATATAAGATGTTTTAGCATTTCTCTATTTTCTCAGATTCGTATGCATCTAAACAGTATTTTACTGTATAGATTCACTAATTTCACTCTGTATGTAGTCAATAGTGAAAAAGCTAAGAACGTCTTATATTTTGGAATGGAGGGAGTACCACTATCGGTGCACTAGACCGCTCGCCCCTTACAATCAACTCTGGCGTAGAAATCGGAGTCCTCACGATGGTTGCCGTCGGTGAGGTCGATGAATGGCGACCGGGTAGACGGCTCAACACCGGAGGGCCCATCACCACCGAACGGCCCCACACCAAATCGCCCATAGCGTCACTCCTCCTTGATGTGCGGCTCCCGCGTCTCATCCTTCACGTGCAGCAGTGCTCCTCGACGCGCCGCCTGGTACGCCTATAACGCGACGCCCTCGTCCTCGACTCGATGCGGGAACTTCCGACGGAGCGACTCCATGTAGTCCTCTTCGGCGCGCTGCCTCTCTAGACGCAAACGTGCCTCGCGGTCCTCCCGAATTTGGCGTGTGGTGGCCACCTGGGGATCGACGGCCCCAAATCCGGCGCGTCGGGCAGCCGTCGTGGAAGTTGAGGTGTGCATCCTCACCATGGAAGCACCTCGACTCGCGGTCATAGGCGTAGGTTGCCTGCTTCGCCGTCTGATAAGAGTCGAGATACGTCTATACTTCCTCAAAATCTTCTTGTGGGTGTGCCGGTTGGTTATCTCAGAGACCCAGGTTCCGCACCACCATTGGCACACGCTGACACACTTCCTCTGCGGTGGCGCCGGCCTTGGGATGTCGGGCTTGTCGCGGTGAAGACTCCACCAAGGGAGGAGGAGGGGCGAGAGGAGGATCTGCTGTGCAGCGCAAGGCATGGATCTGTGCTCCGGATTGGCGGAGGGGACTGACGACAGGAATTTCCAGCCGTGGTGGCGGCGGCGGATGGAGATCGGAGTATGTTGTGGCGGTGTATTTGGTGGAGAAGGACATGAGACGCGCGGTAGAGAAGAAGAGGGAAGTATCTCGAGGGAGGGGGCTATCCATGAAAGTCTTGAAAACAAACTTATACTATAAAAACTTGTACCATAAAGACAAGTGGGAGGGTCTTTTTTGCATTTTGTGTTTCCAGTTCCGTCTACTCGCTGTTAGCACCACAAAATGGTCCAATGATTAACCCTCCCACGTGTTGTAGCACATGCGGACCACAACTTGGAAGATGCCGTGGTTGACTAGTCAATGGCCAGGCTGTCACTCTAGTCGGCAGCTACGACTTGACATTGCAGCCAATGTACTGGGTCGTGTTTCCCCTGACAACACGATCCACGAGACAAGATAGTTTTGGATTATCAGCTTGGGATTATCGATACCTGACTCAGACACAGAGTGTGGGGTCGGGTTCAGCCATCACGCCGACACCCCCGTTCAGACACAGAGTGTGGGGTCGGGATTATGCATGTGCTTCTCAACTCGACTTTTTGTTATAAAAGACTTCCTGCCCAACGAAAATGACAAAAAAAACTACCTTCACATGAAATTGACAAAAGAGACCACCCCAGCCGTGGCGGCAGGCGCGCCAGCCGACGCGTGGCATCTGCCGCCACGCCGGCAGGTGCTGCCGCCACATGCCCAGGCGGCAGCAGCCGCGTGAACGGGGGTGTGCTGCTTGCCCCCTACGGCGTGGCGGCAACACTGTTTGCATGCTGTTTCGTTTAGTCTATATTTTGTTTCGTCTGCGTTTCGTTTCGTCTGACGAATAATGCCACAAATTCGTATATCCTATTGTTGATTCCTTGACATGCAGCACACTGTTTTTATAAATAATAATTGTTTATTTACAAATAATAATACGAGCCTCCGTCACAGGCCTCATCATCGGCCTCCTCGCACCGGGTGATTCACCGGTGGACCTTTACCGTCGCGGGTCTCATCATCGGCCTCCTCGCAGCGGTCTCATCGCCCGGTGGACCTGCTCCGCCGCGGGCCTCATTGTCGGCCTCCTCGCGCAGACATCATCGCCGGCCTCCTCGCGCAGACATCATCGCCGGCCTCCTCGCGCAGACATCATCGCTCGACGGACCTGCTCCGTCGCGAGCATCATCGTCGGCCTCCTCGCGCTGGCCTCAACGCCCGGGCGATGATGTCGGTGGCAGGAGGCCAACGATGAGGCATGCGGCGGCGAAGGTACGTGAG